CGGGGCGGGCGCCCTCCGGAACACGGTGCGTCCTCACGGAAGGGGCCCTGCTCTTCCAGGAAGAGATGTCCGGAGAGACAGTGGTGAGCACCGCAGTGCCAGCAGCCACAACTCGCACCACCTCCTTCAAAAGCGGCAGTCCGAGCTCCAAGTATGTGAAGCTGAACATCGGCGGGGCTCTGTACTACACCACGATGCAGACGCTGACCAAGCAGGACACCATGCTGAAGGCCATGTTCAGCGGCCGGATGGAGGTCCTCACGGACAGCGAAGGTAACGCTCCGGCGGGGAGAAACACGGGTCCCAGAGTCCCCTCTGCAGGGCAGAGACGCTTTGGGATCGAGTGGCCTTCTGGCGGCCCTCCAAACGGTCTTTCCCGGCTTCAGAATCGCTTTGAGCATCCGCGCTGTTCCGTGTAGGTCATCCTTCTGTGCGCCCTGGGCTCTCCAGGAGGAGCCCCACCAGAGACAGAAGCGTGCGAGCCAATCCCGTGATACCTTTTCTGCCCGTTTTCTTGCCGCATTGAGTTTTGTGTGCCGAGACACAGTCGTTTGGTGGGGAGGCAGTTCACACCATGGGGTTTCCAGCAGGAAGGTCTGCCATGGACACCTGGCATATCCCGAGAACTCTTTCAGGAAAAGCTTCCTGCCTGGCTCTTGTGGCCAGCCCCAGCAACTTTGCCTGGATAGCAGTTGGCCAGAAGGAAGACCTTCCAAAGGGGGTCCTGAGTTTTTTGACATACGATCGATGTGATTTTGAGGGCCTGCTTAGAGACAGCGCGGCTGCTTCTTTTTGCAAACTAGAGCCTGTCTCTTGAGTGGCACAGCTGGCGGCTTGGTGGGCTTCCCACTCACTGGCAGCAATGAGGAACAGGATGAACATTGCACTGGTGTTCGTCCTGTGCTTTGTTTGTTTCTTTGCTTGTTTATTAGATTTATCTCCTCCCATCTCCCCAATGGGGGACTCTGGGTGGCTTACAAAATCCGCTAAAACAATAATTATATCCAAAATTACATAAAATATGAAAACTATACAAAGCATTACCAAAAGAAAAGAAAAAGTCCAAGAGGCTGATGGTTACCAGAGCTGCAGATGACAGGCCTCTAAGGAGCTAGCCATCCCCACACTTGATGTCTTCCCTCCTCACTCCAGGCCAAGTGGCAGAGCCAGGTCTTTAGATCTCTCCAGAAGGCCAGGAGTGAAAGGGCCAATCCCACCTCCAGGGGCAAGAAAGGGCGGGGGCTACAGCAGAGAAGGGCACCTTCTGGACCCCACTAATCAGAGCTCTTTTACCAAGGGGGTCCGAAGCACGCCCTCCTTATGTGATCAGGTGGGACGGGTTGAAGTCATGGGGAACAGGCGGTCCCTTAGGTAACCTGGTCCCATGCCATGTAGGGCTTTAAAGGTGATTACTAACACCTTGAATTGGACCCGGAAGCAAACTGGAACCCAATGCCGCTCACAGAGCAACGGTGTTACATGGCCCTTGTTGTAAGCCAGCCAGTAGGGTGTGTCATCATATGTGTATGATGACATCACTATGCATCATACATGTATGCAATCTGGTGGTGAGGGAAAATGCCCGGTTTGCTATAAACATTTGAAAATTGGTGGGGGGAACTGGGACAAAGAATCACAGTTCCACAGATTTTTCAACCGTTCACATCTGAGGATTTTAAGCTAAGGAAAACGATCGTGTTCAAATATCATAAAGGAACTGTAGATTGACTCAAAAGATTGACTTCTGGTTCCATCTGAAGCCAACCGAATGAGATTCACGGATTGCATGGTCAGATTTTTGCTGTAAGTTGGTTAATTTAAGACAGCCCCTGCATTCTTTAGCTGGAGTTGCCCTTATTTGTCAAAGACCAGAGTCCTCCCTCCACAAGCTTTTCTTCCCCCCTCCCCTGCAGTACATTCTTGTGTCTCTGCCCACAGACCGGCCTTCGGTTGAGGTCATGGAAACTTGGGCCCTGCTCCCTGTTGTGCAAGATGCTGGCTGCTTCAGAGCTGGCTGGTTGTTAGGCTGCCCGGCCACATGACGAAGCTGTGGGAGGACATCAGAAAAGCTAAACCATGGTGCCCACTAAGCCAGGGTTAGGGTTAGGGTTAGCTCTGCCTCTTTGTGCATTCCTTCCCATCTCGGCTGCCCTTGTGCCCATCCCTAGGCTGGATTTTGATAGATCGGTGCGGCAAGCATTTTGGAACCATCTTAAACTACCTCCGCGACGGTGCTGTGCCCCTTCCGGAGAGCCGGCGGGAGATTGAGGAGCTGCTGGCCGAGGCCAAGTACTACCTGGTCCAGGGCCTGGTGGACGAGTGCCAGGCTGCCCTCCAGGTAAATCTGCTGTGCGTGCTCTGGAGCCGCCTTCCCCGCTCCTGCTACCTCCCATGGACCATTCTGAGCGAGGGGGGGGTTGATAAAGTTCACACCTGGAAGGCCTTCGGGTGGAGAAAGGCAGGAGGAAGTGCAGCCTTGTGGGGTGGACTCACGTGCGGAAATGCCTTTGGTGCTTCTCAGGGAAGGCCTCTGAAAGCTCCGCAATCTGCCAGGATTCCCGAGCTTAGCAAGAGAGGGGAGCTTGTCAGCTGTAAGCGATGGCTTGTTTCCACCCCGATCCTTTCAGCGCCTTCCCTTCTTTCCACAGAACAAAGATGTCTATGAGCCTTTCTGCAAAGTGCCCATTATCACTTCCTCCAAGGAAGAACAGAAACTTATAGCCACTTCTAACAAGGTAAGCAGGCCCTGTGTTAAGGTGGGCTCCAAAGCTGCGTGTTCTCCAGTCGTTCTTAGTGACTCCGTCTCAGCTTGGGGCTGGGGGTGGGGCTGGGGCTGGGAGAGGAGCTGCCCCCCAAGGTATTCCTCACCTTCCACTAGCCCCGCCAGATCTTCACAGTGGCCCACCTTTGCTCTCTCTCAGGGCAGCCCTCTCTCAACCAGCAGGTCTCCAGCTGGTTTGCTCCCTTGTCTTTGGGCTCTGCTTGCTTGACCTGTTGAACTGAAAGGCATCTCTCCATTTCTGTGTTTTTCTGCAGCCAGCGGTTAAATTGCTATATAACAGAAGCAACAACAAATATTCCTATACCAGGTAAAGTATTTTGCCTTCTGTACCAAGAAGTGGAGAGTTTTGAGAGTGGGGAAGGGGGCAGTTGCCCCGTTAGGCAGAAGGCAGGGGAGTGAGAGGGCCAGAGGGGCGGCTGCCTAACTAAAAGCCTCCGCACCATCCCTCCCAGCAATTCCGATGACAACATGCTGAAAAACATTGAGCTGTTCGACAAGCTCTCTCTGCGCTTCAACGGGAGAGTCCTTTTCATCAAAGACGTCCTCGGGGACGAGATCTGCTGCTGGTCGTTTTACGGGCAGGGCCGCAAGATCGCGGAAGTGTGCTGCACCTCGATTGTGTACGCTACTGAGAAGAAGCAGACCAAAGTGAGTGGCTTTCCCTTGGGCTGACGTTTCGGCTCCCCTGCTCGGAAACAGTCGCCAGGGACTCTTTCTAATGGCCCTGCGTTTGGCATCTCCAGGTTGAATTCCCAGAAGCCCGAATCTACGAGGAAACCTTGAACATCCTGCTTTACGAAGCCCAGGATGGCCGGGGCCCGGATAACGCACTGCTGGAGGCTACCGGAGGGGCAGCAGGCCGCTCCCACCACCTGGATGAGGATGAGGAGCGAGAGCGCATTGAGAGGGTCCGCCGGATCCATATCAAGCGCCCCGATGATCGCACTCACCTGCACCAGTGAGCGGGTGCCACAGATGCGCCCCATCTCCTTCTATTTCCACCAGGGTCTGGCTTGTTACCAGGCATTGGATATTCCACAGAACTCTCATTTTATACTTAATTAGAGTATTTTTGGTATTTAACAATGTAGCAAATTGTACTCTAATAGGTTGTCCACTGAGACCAAGGCTGCCAGTGACCATTTGGGGTCAAGGTCTTGACTTTCCAGCACTTCTGAATTCCTGTTTTGAGCTTAGAGAAAACACCTCTTTTGGTAAATGTGCAACCTCTGCTTGGGTTTACCCTCTCAGCTGAGTCCAGTCGTTCAGGCAGGGGAGATTTCTCCTCTCAGAAGTTCGGAGGGGCTGCTGCTTCATTCGTGGGGATGAAAGCTGTGGCAGATCCTCTTTGCCACCAAGGGAGGGGATGGGAAAGGTGCCTGCCAGGTGACGTGTTACATCTTGTGTTGTAGGAGGAAAATAGCTGTAGGACCAGGCCAGAACATTCAGTGAACCCACCAAGCTTGCTTCTCTTTTTTCCCCAAGGGTGCTGTTCTCATCTTTGCTTCAGTGTCCAGAGAAATGTAGATGCTGCAAAGGCCACCATGTGGCCTTTCTTTCTCCTTCCCCACCTCCCCGTTCACGAGTCCTATCTTCTGATCCAAGACCAGAGCCTTCCCCTTGCAAGCAATTACCCTTTTGTGGTGTCCGCATCTGATTAGGTCTCCATTCGAGGCACACATTCTGGGACCAGCATGCTCGCTCGAGCTGTACCGGGTAATTTAGAAGCTGTTTTGCAGATAGGTGGTTCTCTAAAGTTCTGAGGCCCTGGGGTGATTATGAACAGGTAGTGAGACTCCATAGGCATCTTCTCTTTGTCCCTTGTAGTTCAGAAGAGGCCCTAAGGTGCCTTGGTTTGGGAACGGTGCCTAGGAACTGCAGGGGTTCAATACAATATGCCATTCCCGGCCTCCCACCTAGGGACCCCGTAGTCCATCTCCCCACGAAGGCCCTGTGCAGATGAGAAGGTGCTTGGGTTGTAGGAATCTACAGAATCAATCTTGATGCATCGGTTGGGATGAGAAGGCCCTTTTTCCTCCTTTCTTTAATCTACTTCTGCAGTATCTCTCCTATCATTTCTTTCCTAGCAGAAATCTTATGTGTCATTTGGAGTGTAAGTAGCAAGATGCCCAAAGATCAAGTTGTGACTGGTGGTGGAAATCAGTGAGTTAAGATGTTCTGCAAAGTGTTCACAGGCTGCAGACCAAAGTCCAGATTAGCTTATTCCCATTTCCATTTAGGAAAAAGGGTGTTTGGTTTTATTCCGTGCGTTTCAGAGTTTAGCGGGATAAACCAGAGTAGCCAAAAAGCAACTGTTGAGAGAAGCTGCAAGCCAAAACGGTATCGTGTTGGTAGTTGGGTGGATCCTTTTCCGCCTATTGCACCCTCCCTGAGATATTTATTTTCCAAAGTTGCACTTGAACTCTGATCCTCAGTGGCCTGATAGGGAAACGTGTTCAGTAATTTGGCAACCTTAATCTATTACAATTCCATTTGGTTCTGAGTTTTGCGTCTCAAAAACCTTAAGAAAATCATTAATACACGGTTAATGTCTCTTATGTCGGACAGTAACAGCTATACAATATATACCCTTTTTTATCATAGTACTAAAATCAGTGTTTCAGAGACGAGGAGGAACGCTTTGGGGACTTAGCACAAGGGAAAACTAGTGGGCCACTCCTGGGAAGCCCCCGTTCGCCTTGCTGCTCTTTCTCAGCAAACGCCACCCTGTGACCTGGGCAGGGATGCAGTTCTCATGTTGCCCACCCAAACCTCGTGGGCTCTTCCACTAACTTGGCTGCCTCCTGCGTTTTGGCTGCCGTCTCAGAAAGCTGCGGAGCCAGGCCCAGAGGAAGGGGTGGGGCGCCACTGGCTTCCTCTTTCTGGCTGCTTCGAAATGCTCTTCGAGAGAGGGAGGGGCTCTTGGCCCAGGCTGAATAGCTTAAAAGGAAGGGAGCCGCCTTGCTGCTGAGCCCTGAAACGGTCAGGGAGGAAAGGGGACCAGGATGGAAATGTTGGGGGGAATGACCAGGAGCCCAACCCCAAGAAAGAGCAGCTGCAAACTTCCATTTCTTTAACCTGCTGGGGAGGCTTTCGCATTAGGCTCATTTTTAACTCCTCTTGACCAGCCCCCCAGTGAAGTGCAAGAACGGACACGCGTGCCTGCCTCTTGTTTCGAGACTGTCCTCATGCATTCCTGGGAGGCAAGTCGCAAAACGATTTTGGCCAAAGAAAAAGGTTGCCCCAACTCGGCAGTGCCTTGGCTTTCTGGCTGCAAGGCGGCGGAAAGTCTCGTGAACCGCAGACAGGTTGAAGAACAAGCGCCAACCCCTCCCAGGCCCACCTGCTCCAACGCTACCTGCGGCTTAAAGTCAAGCCTGGCCTGTTCATGGCCATCTTGAAGGGGCCCTGCTCCAGCCGTGTGGGTGTCTTGTCTGGGCAGCGTTACCGCCTCCTTCCCACTGACCTTTTCTTTCTTTCTTCTGTTTATGTAGCTGGTATGCATTTGACACAGATTTTAAATATGGAAAATAAATTAGACATGTTTCCCATTTCCAGCTTCTCTTGGTGTCCTCACTTACTGTCTTTTGCCAGTACTTTTTTGAAAGAAGACGGAGAGTTTAATCACAGTTCTAGCAGGAAGTAAATGCACCATCACAAGAGCAATGAATGGCAGACTCAAGCAGATCCTTAATTTCTTTGACAGAAGTAAGTACCAGCAGCCAGCTCCAACATCAGGCTGGTTCACACATGCTATTGAATCACTAGCAGATACCCAGCTATGCTTAACTGAGGAATCAGTGTGGATACGAGTCTCCTCAGAAGAGGAACTACAAAGGTGTGAAACGGGATTAGTGGTGGGGGAGGACACACGGCATTGCCACTAGCTCGTGGAGGCTAGAAGCCGCTTCCTCTTGATTTCAGCGTTACTCTGGACACGGACTCGGCTGCCAAGAAGCCTCTGTTTCCGAGGTTGCACGCGCAGGCCTGTTCTGGGAATGGCACGGTCCCTCTCCAAGGATCAAACTTGCCATGCATTTCCCCCCAAGGAGGTGAACCCCCACTCAGCCCTCGGAGCACCCTAGAACACCACTGGAAAACCAGGAGTATGGCGTGAACCTTTTTTAAACACTGGGCTGGCTTTTTACAAAGTGCCTCTGGAGGTGGCTAGCAAACACAGAGAGGAGAGGCCAGGCCAGCAGAAGATAATTTTCCTTTCATCTTTTTAATTTTTCATAAATACATCACAGGTTGCTAATACAGAGAGTAACATGGGGTCGTAACTCCGGGAACAGAAGTACCTTCTTCCCATGCTTCAGAGCTTGTCCAAGAAGTAAGAACTTCAGTTCGCACTTCAAAAATGGGGATGATGCTCACTAGCCCCTGTTCACTTTGCAGAGAATTTGGTGGAGTTTCACAGCTTGCCTTACTGCTTCTCTTCCAGTCCTGCTTAGAACTCATGACTGGGACCCTTTTCTGAAGTTCTTCATTTTAAAACAAAGGCTTGGGGCTGTTCAGTGCAGTTCATGGTTAAATTATTGCCCGCTGGGATTTTGAAGCAAGTTATCACGAAAACACAGCCTTGCTCTATGCATCAGTTATTGGGGTGTTCATTGAGGATATTATGGGGTCTAGGATTAATAGGTGAACCGTTTGCATTTTGTTCGTTCACGATGTTGCTTTTAAAAAAGATGCAAATGACCTTGACTCCAACCGTCCTATGGCATCAAAATTTGAGTAGGTTTGCAAAGACCGCAGCAATTCTCCATGGAGGTGGTGATTTCAGTGACTTTCTTTTCAAGCAGACAAAGTAACAGCGCTCGATCTTGGGTTTTCCCCATCAGGACTTTATTTTGGTGGATACCTTTGGGGTTTAAACATAAAAGAGTCATTTCTAGACAGCTTCCCTGCATATTTAGGACCTGAAGCCAGCCAGAAAGCTTCTACGGCAAAAGAACACCCGCATGAGGAGATGGTAGCTGTTAAAAGACGTTTTCTTTTTGAAAAAATTAAATTAGCTAAATGAATTAACAGAGGTAGACTGCCTCAATAGAATCTCCTTCGGTTTTGAGGAAAAACAGATTGGCCAGTGCGGGAAACAATATTCAGACGTGGCCGGATGCAGCAAAGCAGCCTGGATGTTGTACGCTCCAGGACTTACCACTGTCAGTTGTCCATTCTTGGCTTTGTAGATCTGAGGCTCCTGCCCGGTGGTGAAAACCATGGTTCCTTCTTTCCCTGGACTGATCTGAAACTGGAGGCTATTATAAAACAGAGAAAAACTACAGAAATTATACCAGTGCTCCAGAGGCTAGTTGCCTTAGCTGCCTCTGCCAAGGACCAGTGCTTAGTCGTGGAGCCCCGCTGCCGAAGGAGGCCCAGGGGTTCAGCCTGCAGCACCAGGCAATGGACAAAGGGATCTTTCAGCAGGAGACCCGCACCGCTGTGACCAAGAGTCAGAACAGGTCTGGGTGAGAAAACAAACATTCAGAAGGTTTAAGGACTTAAGAGCAGTCGCCCGGATTTTAATTGCTGCGCAATGTGAAACTGAAGCCTTAAATTAGTTGCAGTTTCTTTGGCGGGTAAGTATTCAGATGGTATTAAAAAAGAAAGCCCCACAAGACCATCTCCCTCTGCAGAAGCGAAGACAGCCAAAGACTGGGAAATTACCTTCCCTGGACCACAGCGACCATGTCCTGCTTATTGGCCAACATGCAGAGCTTGGTGACGGTCTCAAAAACATGCTCACACCGCAGAATAGCATCTCCCTGGAAGCAAGATCGGAGGAGGACTGGTTATTTCCAATCAAGTCCTGAAGCAGGAGGGTGAGATGGAGGAAGGGGACGTAAAAGGAACAGGGCAGGCTGCTCGCAAATCAAGATGCCCCTTTTTGAGCACAGCCTGGAGGAGGCAGCACTGGGGCTCCTTTACCTCCAGACACTGGGCTTCTAACAGCAACTTGGAAACTCCTGGTATGCCTTCTAATTAGTAATTGCAAAGAATTAATAACTTACTATAGAATCTGAACTTCAAGTTGCCTAGAAACCACCGTATTACTGGAGCTTTATTCATTTGTTTTCTGAATCTACTGCCTCGGTTACACCTGAAAAGTCCAGTAAGATCAAGCGGCCTTAATATCCTCTCTCGACTCTTGTTTTTATACCTGGATACTTTTATGCAGATTTAACTGACTAACACTTTTAAATTTATGCAACTACTCTGTTAGAAGTTCTTTGATGCTCAGTGTGAGTGGGGAACACATTTCTTGATTGCTTCTCTCCAAATTTCCCTGTTTAAGATAGTTGATTTTACAAAGAGAGCGAGCGAGCAAGCGAGCGTGTACCTAGGTACATAGGTAATCCCAGAAAACTTCTGTTACCTTTTCTTGTTTGTTGTCTTCTGGAACATGAAGGACTAAGATACCGTCGCTGAGACTGCTGGTGGAAATGCCTTGCAGAAAGAAGGTAGAACCACGTGACTCACAGGAAGCTGCATTTCTTCTGTCCCACAGTGTAAATTTCATGGAAATGTGGCTGCAGCAGGACCAAGTTTCAACTGTTTCTTTTTAAAAAAAAGTCTATTAAACCCAGCTAATACGTTCCGGGGCTTCGGGATCCCTGCCCCGATTCTTTTCTGACATGCCTTTGGTGACGTTGCAGAGATGGAGCTATACATTACTTTCCCACCATAGACCCCCTCGCAGCTTCTCTGGTTTCCACCTCCTCCCAACATACTGAAGCCCCTTCCTGCTCCCAAGTCTTCCCTTTCCAGCCCCTTCCCCCGGTAATCTCTTTCTGCAACCTAGGATAGTTTTTTGCAGTTGGCCATTCCTTTTTCTCTGTACGGAAAAACACCTGGCTTCCTCGCCCTTGTTCCCTTCTGGATATGTATGAGGGTCCTCTCTACCTAGGGCAAATTTCCTAATTCATTTGGTGAAAAATGCTCGTTTCTGCACCAGCTCTTCTAGACCGGCGGCAGCCTGCGTGACGGCACAGTAAAGGCCGAGTTCGAAATTCTCCCTCCAATCGTTTGTGTGCCAGAAAGCTTTGCCGCCAGGAGACTAGAAAGCAGGTTTCCAGGACAAGGCCCGTACAAATCCATCTGCCGAGGAGGTGTGATTCCAAAGGTTACCTCTGAGCGTTGCATACTCAATCTTTTGCTTGATCTTTGCTGTCTCCACCACGTAAGCCGCCACACGGGTCAGAACAAGCAGCCGCTCTCGGGGCTTGAAGCCGTTCCGGTCATACTTCACCACTGGGGTGACATACTGGAAAGCAGCACAAGAGGGGCTTTAGCTGGGGAGTCTGACCGAGAGCTTGGGAACTGCAGTCGTGCTTGTTCTGCAGCGTCAGAGGTGATGAGAAAGCCGCCATTCGGAGCGCTGCTCCCCCTTACCTGCGGGACGCATCATCTGCCTTACCTGCACCTTCTCGTGGCGGATCATCTGCAGGACTTTGGGGCACAGGTCACTCTCACCTAGGAATGAACGGGGCAGAAAGCAGTGGCCTCTTCTGAGCTCTTCTAAGAAGCCTCTGGCACACCAGAAACATTTTTTCACTTCATTATTTCATTTAACGATTCTTCCAAAGTGGCTTATAACATAAGACATACCATTCAAGATCAGTATGCAAGTTTTTGAAAGCTACAGATCAGCTTTAAAGTGAGCTGGTTAACAAGTACTTACTTTTCCTGCAGGACCAGATGATCCTTGGGATCCCTTCCAACTCCACAATTCTATACTTCCGTGAAATTCTCCCCGAATTATAACCCGATACTCAGAAAGAGAGAACTTTTCACTTGACTCAAGCCGAGCTCTTGTAGCACCTACCATCGCTCAGTTACTCACTTAGCCTGCTGTCCACAAAGGGTTCATTCAGGCTTTCAGCATAGCCAACCTTCTTCCCGGAAAAGATGGCACTGGCAACTGCTTTTTGCTCCATCTGTTTTGGAGTAAAATAAGAAATTATGCCCTCCTTGATACCCTTCAGGACATCAGGAGCACCCCCAGATCAGGTTGAAGTTCCAGGCTTCTGCATCTGAAGATGCTCAGAGCCCTGTCCTGTTACCTGGGCCTTCTTCTCTGCAGTGATGCCACGGCAGTACTTCCGGACCAGATTCCTTGTGCAGATCTTCTTCAGAAGATCAGAGGTCTGTGCGGTAGAAGGGGAGAAGGTGGACAAGAGATGTGGAAAGAGCTCCAATCAGTTACTTCTCATCTGACTCTCCCTCAGCTAGCACTGGAAGAGCTGGGGAGATCCAGCATCCCCACAGTGCCCACCAGCAGCATGCAGAGAACCCACAGCCTGTTCCCACAGGAAGCCCAGAGGCCTGTTCCCTGTGTGTTCTGCGGCAGGCTGCCCCTGAACACGGAGGCTTCCCCCAAGGCAGTTCTCACTTGTTCCATGATCTCTGGAGGCTTAAGCCAGCTTTTGTCCAAGACGGTCTTTGGAACGTGATCCCTGAGTTTCATGAGGTAGGCGTACTGCACAAACCTCACGAAGTCCACGTTCTCAGTGTTCAGGGGCTGTTTCCGGTGAATAAAGCCTTTTAAGTACCTTCAGAAGGGAAAAAGGCAACATTCATGACCGTATTTCTATGATCTCCAGGAACCTTCCCGAGCGTGTACGTGTGGGTGTGCGCGTCTATACACATCCACGCAAGACCGGGAGTAACCAAGAGAACAGGGACTTCTCTTATTTCCTCCCAGAGCTGAGAGGCAACGGAAAGGGAGGGGTGGTCCCAGGAGGAGAGTGGCGGCGGCGGCAGCGGCAGGGGACCTACTTGTGGATCGTCTGCACCGCCCACATTCTCTTCTTGGCCAGTCTGCGTGCCAGGACCCCCCTCCAGGCAGCCTCTAGCTTGATGGCTGCAAGACAGAAAGAAAGGATCCCTCCGATGACCCAGCGGACCCAGGACTGTCTCCTTATTTGCAGACAAAGAGCACATGGGGTGGGGTTGGGGGATAAACAGCAAAGAAGCCTGCCCTTTGGTAAAATGAGTTGAATGCGAAAGGAAGAGGAAGAGGAAGAGGAAGAGGAAGCATTGCATCTTAGCACTTCTGCAGTTCTTTGGTCAAGACTGTTTTTGGTTCCAACCAACGGTTCCTTACCAGCTTCTTTCATCTTCTGGAATTCTCGCTTCCCGAGGCAACCTCTGTATTTGGCTTGTATTCTGGAAACTAAAAGACAAACAAGCATACTGCCCTGATAATTTAGCCCTCGCAGGTTGCAAAGCCTCTTGCAACCACTTCCATTTCTTTGGGGAGCCTTTGGAGACCTCTGGTGTGACAAGAAGGCTCTTCTAAGCCAGACTTATACAGGCTCTGACCAACTGACAGATCATTTTCTTTGCCAACTGTGCCACCTGACATCACTTTTAACTGCAAATTCCAAGAACAGAACCTGGGACCTTCTAGCCTAGATACTTTTTGAAACTGAGTCAAGAATCTTGATTCATCAACAGTATTATTATTTCCTACTGTCACTGGAAGTGGCCCTTAGATATCTTTCTCATCAATGGTACCTGGTGTCTTTAGTGAACGTAGGACCTTCTTAATGCAAAAAAGGCCATCCTACAGATGCCAAGCTTATCACCCCAAAGATTACTCATAAGTAGACCTGGGTTTTTGCTTGCAATGCCAAAACCTGGAGACATCTGTTTGGCCAAAGTTGGGAAGGAAGATAATGCTGGACTAAGTGGGCCTACAGGGATATTGTGCAGCTTTATCATGTTAGGACCAAGAAGTCATGTTTATGAGAAGGTAATCCAGGGTCCTCAGATTACTATAAAGAGGGAGCTGCCAAATCCATCTGCTTCTAGCAATTCTAAGAAAAAGGGACCTACAAGCCAAACAAATTCCACAATTTCCACTGCATTCTCAGAAGCGACTTGCAGAGAAAGGACCTGTCAAAATGTTCAGGTAGAAAATGATGTTTCTGGGCTGGCGTGATCCGAAGCAGCCCAAGTACATACTTAGGAGGTGTTTTCTATATTCGAAGGCATCTTCAGTGGCAAAAAGGGTTCTTGGGAAACGAATGAACAGTTTGGTCCTAAATGAGAGAAAAGTCGACAGCTACATTTTAATGGTTAGTTTTTGAGAGGGGCTGCGTGAATCAGTCACAAACGCCGGCAGCCGCCGTCCTTTACCTTCCCATTTTGTACTCTTCGGGCTTATAGCCGACGTGATGGATGAGCCTCTCCACTCCCTTGGCAGCGGGACCTCGCCACTGGGGCCAGGTATCAGGGCAGAGCAACTTGTATCTAAAACAAATCAAGAGAAACAGGGCGGAATAAATGGATTTCACACAGCGGAAGTGACCATGGAGGACCACAATCATTTCTGTCCGGCGCAAAGCATGAGCTAACCTCCGCCTTCTCGCTCCTGGTGTCTCTCCAGGATTCATGATGATGGGAAAGCTGGTTTATAGGGTGCTAAATCCAATTCCTATCCATAAGCTCCACGGCGGAGGGATGTGCTGTACAACAGCACTGCTCAATAGGTGACCTATGTCTTCCCAAGATCTAACACGTTAATAAATGAATTATCCCAGACCCTCCAATCTCCACCCAAATGTTTTAGGACTGGGGGAAGACTAGATGGCCTTCTCTCTCATGTTCTCAGTTACTATGGAAGCAACAGCAATGGCTGGAGGGGAGCTGGAATCTCACCTTTGCAGGAAGTCCTCATACTTCCGACGGTAAGCAAAGCCTGCTCGCCTCACCCGTAGGTGCTCCATTAGCCCCAAGTATTTCACCTGGTGCCTTATCAAGGAGTCATCGAATTTGTCTGCACGACAGAAGTGTATCCCGTTCAGGGCACTAACACTAGCAAAATTCTCCATCCCATACCTCCTCCTTTTCTTCCCCCGCCCCTCAAGTAAAACGCACAGGCTTCCTGGGATCTACATTCTAGTGCCCAAACACACGCACAGGTTTGGCTGCACGAGAGCACAGAGGTGCATCAATGTCAGCGTCCATGACCACCCGAGGACTTCTCCTCCCTGTTGCCCGAGACAGGAAGCCCCTGGCCTCACCGCCACTTGCATAGGTTTTAACTGCCATGAGTTCTAATTTCTCCAGGGGGATGAGAAACGTTAGCTGTCATTTTTAAGGAAGCCTAGATTTTAAGGATTGCAGAGGTTGCCTCCAAAATGCCTTTGGGGCCAGGGACAAATAAACGAAACACATACGGAAAGTTGTGCACCCTCCATTTCGAGCCCAGAGGACTCCTTACCAGGTTCTTTGTCAGCATTTGGTTTAATGCACCGGATGTAGGATGGCTCCTTGGACATCAGGATGTCTATCAAACTGGACAGGCTTGTCTTGAATTGAGTTGCAACCTGCGCACACCAGGAGACTACAGTTACAAGCATGAAAGGGATGGGATGCCTGCTCTGCAGGTACAAGCTTACCCCAAAGCAATTAAGTCTGAAAAGGGGTCCTCAATTGCCCCAGTGGGGTGCTTCTTCCCAACCCTGATTATTGTCTCAGAAAGAGTTAAATCCTCATCCCAAGCCAGTCTTCTCCCAGAAAACCATCCCTTGTGTAGCACCAATGGGAAAGTTTTGCAAAGCTCATGCGTGGCAACAGCTGTGTGTGAAAATCAGCGTGTGTGTGTGCGCTCTGCACAGTGTGCTAAAGACTGCAGTGAGCCCTGTTTCCACAGGCACACTGTCCCAGATTGCAAATCGTGAGCAAGGAATACAATTTCCAGCTGAAGAAAACTCTCCTTCATTAAAAGACGTTTCCCAGCTTTCTATAAAATGCCAATGTACTGTATAGCTCGGCTCCTGGGAGTGGGGCAAGATATTTCAAGAGCTCAGCTCATAAGCAGAGGAGACCACTCACCGTCTCGGGCCTCCTCCGGTTGTGCAACTCTGATGGGCGGAAACATTCTCTCAAGATACCATTTTTGGAATTGCACAGCACCTTGAAAGAGGTTAAAGCATCAGGTCACAGAATTCATAACACCCATGCCATTCCATTTTTAAATTTACTCAAACCTCTCAATTTCTAAAGGCTGGCCACCCACTCTAATAATTCCCCAACTCTTCCTTTACGTGGGCCTTTCCTATTCTATTTTCAGTCCTTAACTACAAGGCAAGACAGAAGCCCACCTCAATTAATACCACGTTTTTACCTCTTTGAGGTTCCGGTAAAGCAGATCATTATTTTTCTCCAAAAATCCTAAAGACAGCAGGAAATAAAATTAAAGCAATGCTAATAAAATTCGGGAAGTGGGAGAGAAAAACTCCTTGTACATGAAGCAAGGATGACCCTAGGAAGCAACTGTTGGTCTAAACAACGAAAATCCTGGGACTACAGTGCCATCAGTGCTATTCCCCCTTGCCAATAGGTTTTTGATTTGTTTTGAGGAGAGAGAGAGAGAGAGAGGCTTCTCCAGCCTTCTCCAACCTGGTGCCAGCTACACTGCACAACCAATGGGGAGTGCGCTTGTGGGAATGAGGGGCTATAATTCAATCTGTCTGAGATGTGTTAAATTGAAGGACGCAATGGGAAGCTGGGAGTTGTAACTGGGGCCCAAAAGGCTATGAAGTGAGATCGCCACAAACAGAATATCCAAAACATCGTGTTCATTGGGAGTTGGAAGAGAACTGTGGCCAAGATAGGTTGGTTTCCAAACAAAGAAGTTCCTGATCTTGAAATCTAGGAACGAGGAGCTCGCCATCCGCCTGATGCCTCCCTGCTTTTTTTCTGAAGCAGAAATCGTTCTTGTGAGCTTAAAGCAAGGAGGGAGATGGCTGGGTGGCATGAGCTCCATCGACCAGCCTAGACTTAGTCACTTCCAAGCCAGTTCCCCCCTTTCTTACCTACTGTGCAATAAGTCACTTCACCAGCGTAGTGAAGCAAGCGGAAGTCCACCCAGTCAATGGACTTCCGTGTTTTCTGGTCTGCAAGCTTTCGACTGCAGAGAGGAAACAACACAAAGAAAATTTCTCAGATTCAGAGATGATTCCATTCACAACTTGGTCAGGACCAAATCCAGAAGCCACAATTACGGGGCTGGGGGAACTGCTCTGAACTACGGTCTGCTCCAAGAGGACCCAAGCTGAACGACTTGCAAAACAATTCCATCTCCTCTAGCGTAAAGGGTACGGTGCTTACGTCACAAAATGGGCGTGATCTCCTACTTTTTCCTCCAGCTTTTCCAAGAAACTCAAGTCAGTTGCTTCACCGGGTCGCAAGCATTCTTCATCCTTAAAAAAAGGAAGACAAAAGACCATCACCGGCTCTAGCACATGAGCAATAAATAACGTGATTTGGCTTTGATTTAAGCTATGTGTGAACCAGGCCATTATAGCTTGTTCAGTGAATCATGCTTAAAAATCCTGGTTTATGGTTATGCATGGGGCACAGCCAATGGGACTGGTTCTTGAATCTAAACCAGATGTGTTGGGTCTACATTCACAACAAACAGCCAGCCAGCACATCTGGAGGACTCCTGATCAAGAAAGGTTGACACTGGGAGCATCTTCAAACATCAGCTTTCAAAGAAAAATTATTTCAAAGCATTCCTCATTCCTCAAAGGAACTCAGGCCCAGGTCCTGTGAAGTCACCCTGTGCTCCGTTTTCTCTTCTCTGCTACTGAGAACTGTAGTTCTGTGAGAACGTGAATAACTCTTTGATAGAATTCCCTAGCTGTTTTAAAACATTTCAGTCCCCAAAATTCCTTTGGATGGCAGCCCTCACCCATTATATTTGGTTGAGACTAGCTTACATTTGCCATGGGTAGACATACTCAAAAATCAATGTTTTCTTACCAGTATGGAAATGATGCCTTTGTGTTTCTCCTCCACAAGGTCACATATGATCTTGTTATTAAAATATGGGACTGGTTCCCACTACAATTAGAAGCAAAACATAGGAGGATGGTCTGTCAAGGCACAGCAAGGGCATATTTGGGCAAGTAAAATTCTAGTTAAATCAGAAAGCCCATCTTCACTAGCCTCTGGAGACAGAATTTAGACCAAGTCTGGGAAGAAGCCTTAAAAGTGTTTGGGAAAAGGCATACTTTTCCATGGGTTGGGCTCAGAATACACTTTATTCACAGCAGTGTTTCAAAGAAGGATCTCTGGCCTGGTAAAATTCAGCAGGATTTTGTATTCCTTTAAACATGCCATAAAACCTGTTTGACCAGAATCAATGGTGGATAAAATGTGTAAATGTAGGCATCATGTGGAAGAAAGCTTCCCTCCAACCATTTCTGCTCTACAAAAGTCCACTGTCAGTCTCCAGACCCTGGAGCATCTCTTGACTCTTACAAGAGCGTTTTCTTTCCTACGTTTCTGTCAAGAGAGAAACAGGAGCCCGCCACCCAGGTAGTCTCCAGGAAGGCTTTGCCAACTGCAGCTTACACTTAACCTCTTCCTTTCCCGGCTCCTCTGCGCTTCTCTTCTGCTCTTGGCTGCCAAGCCCAGCTAAGGTCTTGCTTGCGGGGAGGGGGGCTAAGGAGAAGAAGGGAAGCAGAGCAAGAATTACCTCAATGCCTTCCAGCTCATATTCCTCTTGCTCTGCCTTCAAGGTCATCTCGATCAGCAGCTGGTGGAGCTTCTCATTGCAATAGTTGATACAGAACTGTTCAAAACTTGCAAAAACAAGCAAACAAACAGCAGAAAGTCATTTTAAAACAGTAATGTCCTAGAAGTGTTTCTGGATGAAACCATTTTAACCACCCCAAGTGAAAGAAGGGAAGTTGTACAACCACCGCCTCCTCCCACTCCTCTTCCTCCTCCAAATTCCGTGTTCTTGGAAAACTAGCATGTTGGGGGCAAAGATTTTGGCTCACATGCGGAAAATGAAGTGCTACTCTGAGCACGCTTAGACTTCATTCTCAAAACATCCAATTTAAATGTTCTGAACACTGCCTTCTCATTCATTTTTATTCAAGGGGGAAAACAAAGCCGCGATCAGCCAGATAGATCACGTTTATCTTATTTTTTAACAGGTAAACCATTTTGAAATGGGATTTGCTCAAGCGTGGAGATGTACCTGTTCGTCTCAAAGACTTCAAAGCCATAAATATCAAGTAGCCCAATCACTGTTTTCCTGCTGAGGTCCTACCAAACAAAGCACAGACAATGTGGGTCATGCCGGGAAGATCCTTGGAACACCTGAGCACAAATCGGACAGGATGCGTGCAGCGACCGAGCAGCCCCAGTGAAGGAGGCCAGTCTACCTTCTCCACTGCATGGGAGTTGAAAGGATGCACTGTTAATACAAGCAATTATTATAAAAGGCAACAAGGGACCAACCTTGTTTGCTAGAGAACTGTTGATCTTGTTGACCAGCCAAGTAAACATCCGTCCATATATTGCTTTTGCTACTGCGTCCCGGGCATAAAATGCCAGGTCTACATCCAATGGGCTTAAAACCTTTAGGGAGGAAAGAATCATGGTGTCTACACATGGTGGCAGATGCACCATATTACATTACTGCCAAGGAGCAGGGCGACTGAGTGGTACCTCTTCAGACCGGGCCTCAATTTTCCTGTGGGTTAGAGATTCTTGAAGAATGGATAGATGGACGCCCAAAAGCTAGAAAGAGGATGCAAAAGAAACCGTCAGGCCCATGACAGCAGGCAACACTAGAGATATATGCTCAACCTCTTATTGGTGCGATAGTTCAAAACGTCTGGCAGAGAGGGGAAACTTCCATATGTGATTAGGCTAGTACTACATGCTCAAAACTACTCCTACAATGGTGCATCTACACCAAAGTATGTGGAAGTAGTTCAGGCTGCGTGGAATTGTAGTAGAATCTGATTATGGCAAAACTTTTCCCAGTCAATGCTATATGCAAGTGGCCAGGATGGTAGAGGACAATGTCTTAATAATACCATTCACTTTGCACCCTGGGCTGGCTTCATCAAAATTAATTCACTGACACCCCCAGCTGGCACCTTGGAGATCCACTTGATTTGAGTGCCATTGGTGATGATGGCATGGCCATTGCTGTCTTCTTCAAACTGAATGTTGCCCAGATGCAAGACACTTGCAATTATCCCTAAGAGATTCTGAGAATAAAGAAAGGATGTTGTAAAATCAAGTATAATTCACTGTAATCACTACCGTAAAAGGGTTGTTTTAATCAGCTGCCTCTTTAGAGGCTACTGTAGGAATTATCTCAACTTGTACAAATTATACACCCCATAAATATCCTGTATCAGCAACGCTAGTCCGTCTGGACAAGGAAACATCGTGCCTTTCCAAAACTTACTTTCTGGAACAGGAACAAGAGTTCATTCACTGCACTAAACTTATCTACAGCCATTAAGGACTAGAAACTGGCATGTTTTATCCCAGACATTTCATGTGTGAAATGAAGAGACAACGGTTCTAACATCTCCTTCTCATTTAGACCTTGTAGTTTATTCAGAACAAGTAAATTGCTGAATTCAGTTCTCCAAATAAGCATCTATGGGATCTCAGCTTTAGTCATTTATTCCCAGCCATAAATATTAGAGAAGACTGGGGTTCTTTTCTCAAGGGCATGCGCTGTACTGGAAGACCGTTAAAGGCTCCTGAGAGACCTCTGTAGGTTTCCAGACCTAGAGCCATCACAGAAGATACCTCCGGCAGTATGCAAATCAGGTGTTTTTCCAATGCAGTGGAATACAGTTGCTTATTTCTCACAAGCAAGAGTTTACTCATTTCTACGCAGTCAAGCAGGGACCAACTTCCACTCAACCCAACTCTCCTTTCTTCTCTGCCTCCCTCATAAGGTTTGTACCTCAATATCTCTTGCTGCAAAGTCAATGACGATGAAGGCCTTCTGGACTGTTCTCCAATCGCTTTGGTCATTAATGGAAGATACTTTGGCACAGCCCCCCTATTGTGGGAGACAGAAACAGGATGGGAGCTTTGTCAGGGTGATGCTGGAGGTGGACTCCAGGCCTTTGAGGAAGGAGGGCTGGGTCTAAATTCCCATTCTGCCACGAAGTGCAATGAACAGTGATCAAAGAAGGGCAAGGATGGACCTCACCAGCCTATCATCCACAGCCTGAATACAACTTCTGTCACTCCTATGCTGGTGAAGGATGATGGGGTTGCATCCTCCCACACATATGGAGGACATCAGAATGGGGAAGGATGACAAGAGTTTCTGAAGCTCTTTGGACGAGAGATTAAATTCATATGTCATTAATACAGAACCCTTAGGATGAGGCTGGATCAAACAAACACCCACTGAGACTGGCATCCTGCTTTCCATCATTATCGCCAGATGTTTTTTGCAAGTGCCATGGAAGATGCGAGGTCACAGCTCACATTCCCTAGCGATGGAGGTTCAGCGGCAAGACGCTGCCTCACCTGAGCGCTCTGCTCAGATCATGTTCCAAGATCTTGCAGAACCCTCAAAGGTTGGAGTGGTCCTTTGAAGGCCAAGAATCCAATCCACTGAGAGATGTAAGAGACAAGTCAGCAAGGTCTGTTGCACTTTGGCCACAAAGAGAAAAAGACATGGCCCAACTAAAGGACAAGGTCTGGGGCCAATTCAAAATCAGAAAACAGCGTGACTTCAAGTTTTAATTTAAAAGTGCATGTGACACCCGGAGATTACTGTCTGTGGAACAGAACTGTGCCAAAGGAGGGACGTGGGAGCTGCACCACCCAACCTGCACGAGATACGTGTACTTCTGAGGGCTGCGTTCCAGGCCCAGCCCTTGAAGCAGGTCCTCCTCTCCGCCCTCCAGCAGCTGGTAGAAGATGTGGAAGTTGCGCTCCCCGGGGTTTTGGTGAACCACGCGGGATTTCTCAATCAGATAGCTCAGGATGTGCCCACCAACGGGAGCTCCCTGAAAACGGCAAAGACAAACAGGCAGACACACCTTGCAAGAGCAAGCAAGGCAAAGCAAGCAGGCACATTACACACCCAAGTCGCTCCTTGCGCACAGGACACACTGTGCATCTAGCTATTCAGGGTCAGACACCAAGGCTGGGAAACACCATTTCTCAAGATTCTGGTGAGATGTTGTCATGTGAGGAAACACCTAAAACCGAAATCCAGAGCTTCGACTGTCAGACTGGGACTGACGGAAAGAGATGCATTTCCCACTGCTGGGCGACCCTGACTGCTCTTCTCAGTCTCAGCCTGGCCTATCACCCTCTTTCTCTGACAAAAAGAAAAAAAACACAACCTACAGTATAAAAATAAACAGAAGATTCTACGAAGTGGCTCCGTTTCATTATTCCAGATTAAAGAGTTACACTTTAAAAAACGCAAGAGATTTGTTCCACCTTAAAGATTATACAAGATATTTGTTTTACCTTAAAATCAAACTGGATGTCCATGTACTTTCCAAACCTGCTTGAATTGTCATTCCGTAAAGTTTTTGCATTTCCAAAAGCCTGTCGGGCAAACACATTTGGGGAATTCAGTGGGCTGGGCTTTCTTTCCTCTCACAGATGCCTATTGCCCATTCCAGTAATCCTGCTGATCATTTAATGCCACGTACTTTATGTGTCTCTGTTACCGCCTGTGACTCCTTTTGTAGGAAACACTTGGTTTTGTTTTTTCTCTTATTTCTTTTTCTTTCATTAAAAACAGCATTATTTAGTGAAGATTTTAAAAAGGAAAACTACATAAAAATGTAAGAACATAAGCCATGTTCTGCTGGACTAGACCCTGGCCCATCTAGTCCAGCAGCCTGTTGTCCCACTGGCCAACCAACTGCCCAAGGAAGCCCCACGTGTCTCCCTGCAGATGGCCTGCAGTGGCAGCCCCCCCCCCCCCAGACTAATAGGTCTCCAGGACTTCCATGCATTGGTCCAACCCATTTTTGAAGCCAGCCAGCCCCACATCTCATGGTAAAAACAAAGTTTGCCATTCCAGAAATCAAAGCATCTCTCCACCACTTGCAGAAGAGAAAATAATTTGGGAGCAAGATACAGAAGATACTCAAATCACAGATCAGAGGTTATTGAAGACCTGCTCAGATCAATAGGAAAAAATTAATAAGACAAACTGAACCTACACTAACAGACAACATATCTGCTCAGCTGAATGGACCCTGGTTAGGACCAGTATTACAAAAGGTCCATGCTAGACACCACCCTTGTTTTAATCCACCACTTCCATGGGATTTTGGAAGAGCCGCACGCTGCCAGCTCTGAAGGGCCCCAGCGTGAAAGCCGCCCGTTTCTTCTAGTACCTCCAGGACAGGATTGGAGAGAAGCAAGCGATCCCGGACAATCTGCAGCTGCTCTGTGGTAGGGCAGGTCACTGCAAAGAACTGAAGGATCTTCTTGGAGGCCTCAGTCTTCCCGGCTCCACTTTCTCCAGAGATCAAGATGAAGTGGTTATTATATTCGGTGCACATGACACGGTAGGCGTTGTCAGCAATGGCGTAACTGGAGAAGATGCAAGAAGGGACCCGGTGACAACTTCCCTGGATTATATAAAATCTGCCTTACCCAACAGAGTATTTTCCAGGTGGGGCTTCAACACCCTTAATCCCCAGCCAGCATTGGGACCATCTCCTGTGTATAATTATTTTTTGCGGGGGTTGTACTTTAAATCCCCTTAAGTTTGGATGGATGGATGGATGTGAGTTGAGGGTCCCATCTGGATACATGGAAGGCCAGCCAGCAGGGAACAGCGCTGCGTGTGTGCTCACATGTGTGGGGGCAGCTCAAAGAAGTTTACGCCTTTGTATTGCTCCATCTGCTTAACCGTATAGATGTCCAACTCTTTGTACGGATTCACAGACACCAAAAGAGTGCCGATGTAGGTCTGAAAGGAAAAGGCAAGAAGAATTCTTATTGCCAGCCAACCTAAAGGGCCGGCTACCAGATCACTGTTTCTGATTCGGGGGCCGTGAGATCATCAAAACAGAAGAGGTGGCATTCTCAACATCAAACCCAAACCCATCTTGGTACTCCTCACTCCCGAGGACCTATCTGGAGGGGCGAGGACTACCAAGGGATGTCCCTCAGGACCAGGAAGAGTGAGGCCACCGCTCAGGGGGGTGATACTGAGAGATGGTGAGCGGCAGCAAGGAAGGGAGGGCAGAGGTTTGAGGATGCCGGCCTCACTTGTTGCTCCGGGACAAAGGTGCCCATCTCTGCCACCCTCACTTCCTACCCCAGGGCTCCGACGGAAAGAACAAAGCGGCTCTTGTTGGATGCACAGGCCGTCCATCCTGGGGAGGACAGTGGCCTCCTACCTCCTCGCCCTCCTTGCAGAATTTGGGTTCTGGCTCTAAAGTCTCCTTTACCCTTAAGAGACAGCCCATTCGATTCAGTTTAGCACTTCTGATCTAATATTATATTACCACCCTCTTTCCCATTACAAATGGCAGCACTGTTCCAAATGGACCGGTGGCTTAATTTTTAATTACGTAAATGAGGTTCTCCCGGTATCGTTTCCGTAGGTTGTCCAAGAAAGCAGATTCACTCGTGTGAGCGTCGAGGAGGACAAAATCTTGGACTCCAACTCTGTCCCGGGCTATCAGAGCCCCTTCCATGTTCAGCGGGTGGGGCTTCTTCCACACCGTTTCCTTCTGTAAGGCCGGAAGAAAATAACCTAATTAGGGGTTAGGTCAGAGTTTTTCTGTCTAATAAGGACTGAGACGAGCCTTCCACTTGCAGTCTGGGCGTGCTCTCTTTCTGGTCTTGTGAAAATTCATGTAAGGGATGTTGCGGCTATCTTAAAATGCTAGTGTTTTCCTGACCGACAAAACTGCAAACATTTTTCTTTTTCAGTAGCTTCCAGAAGCCTTTGCAGACTATGCGCGGGAATGTATTACAACGTTTCCCAGGCTGCAGGATTGGAGAGTGATCATTCTAATAACTGTAGCAAAGTTGGCACATCTAGTAACTTTGCAAAAACAAGGGAGCAAAATATATGACAGTCTCTCTGTGGATACATCGAGTAGGGGCTTCTTCTTTTAAGCCAAGAGATTCTGTTGCAATGTTTTCATGCACGCTGGATACACAATGCCAGCTGCAATCATAGAACTACGCTGCCATTCATTCTAACTGACGTCCAAGACGAATATCGAGACACTCCGAGGAGACCCAGCGCCACCGGCATAACCTAGCGGACATTGGCTGAAGCCTGGCCCGGCTACAGTGGCCTGCCCGAGGCAGAAGTAGATCTTAGCTCTCCTGGTTTCCTAGGGTAGGTAAGGGTCACATTCTGGCTCGCCGTTTCTTGATACCAAACTAGGCTGGTTTGGACTTGCGCTTGTGGAAAGGGCTCGGCCACCATCCGACTCGGCTGGCTCCGGTTTGCGCCCCAAGCCCAGCCGCTGGACTGCTTGGGGGATTTGGGGGAGGAGGAGGTTCCGCGTGACGTGCCAACGGAGGACACGGTCTTTGTTTAAGCCACCAGTTTTAGGGCAGCACATTCTACGCTCAGCCTTGAAGCGTTTTTGGCTTTCCAACCCCTTCTCATAACTACCACAGAGGTTTACAGCTCTCTGTCCTTAAGCCTCTGTTTCCTCGCGATTGTCCCAAAATACCGTCCTTGGAGGCGAACAACCCATCCGGCCCTTTCCAAAAAGCAGCAGAAGGGTGCCAACGTCCCCTTAAGAGCTATGCTCCTGGCACCTTTTCTCCCCGATTCAGATCCCCTGCCCCTTCTCCTCATCTGCTCCCAAGTTACCTGGCGGTTTCCAGGTCTGGTGCTTCGCCTCTGCTTATTTCACAAAGGAGCCCTTCGTGAGTTTTGTCGACTGGGACTTTAAACCTATCGTTCCAGGGTTGGCCCTGCCCAGAGGACTCTCTGTTCCCCCAGGGGCATTCACAAACGTGGCTGGAAAGGCAGGGATCTGGACGGGCTCTCCTTCGGTGCACGTCTTTAACAGTGAGCTAGGACAAAGTCACCCAACAAACAGTATCTTTCCCCCCGCCTCCCTGGAAGGAAGGGTGTGTTTCCAAGCGTTATTGAAATCCAACTACTTAATTTGCAGTGTTATGAAGTCCAGCCTGGCTGCAGAACAACAACTTTGGAAAGTGGTTGTTCAGGAACGCCGCTCTCGTGGGCTTGCTGCCCTCCACGTGCGATGGGCAAAAGCTCTCACCCCATTCAGCCCACATCAGGGAAGGTGCCATAAGATGTGTTGCTGGATCAGGAAAGGAACTGCAGCCTTGGATGTGTGCTGAAAGACCAGCCCTCCAGAGAGAGGTCCAAGTTGCAGACTGTGAGAATATTTCCCACCATCATCCCGCCTCTAATCTGCCAAAGTTATGAGGAATAATTATGCCTTGTGCAGCTTTTCAGGCTTGGTCAGGGGAGCCCACCTCTGGCTGAGCAGCACTTCTCCCCCATCGACAAGAACAAGCTAAGCGCATAGACAGGAACCACGAAATGCCGAGGTGAAAACAACCAGGCCCCACATGTCCCACTGAAACTTTGCAGGGCCTCCCTTGTCCCACTTCCGTCTAGGAGGGGCCTAGAGTCAACTTGCGCATTCCAGTCTAGGGAGAATTCGGCCACCGTCCTGCTTTTCCGTGTCTCTTTTTTGGTGGGGGAGACAATTAAAAAGGAGACTGCTCTGGTCAGACAAACATTGCAGGATGTGGGAATGAAATACACCGTCGGGCTATTCTGCAGGGGTTCTCTCAGCTTTCATATAAGGAAACTTGGGGGGGGGAAATCCAGCGAAAAACCTATATATGTACAAAGGAGGCATGGAGTGAATGTCCATCACGGGTGTGGTGAGCACCTCTGCCCGTCCTATGAGCAACTATGTTCCCCAGCCAAGGTGTCTAGTTCTACGATGATGACAGATCCTAGCCTCTTCTTAGGAATTAACTGCTGCTACATTCTTTTGCACAACAGAGAAGATGCTTACAGTGGAAAAGACGCAAATTAAAATGAATTTGCATCCCATTCCAGGGAACCTTAGGAGGTCTAGCTTAACATCACACTGGAAATAATAATAATAATAATAATAATAATGATGCCTTACCTTTCCTGACACCAGAGAGAGAATGAATAAGCAGCTTTGAAAACCCAGGAGCTGCCTGGGGATTAGATTCCCTCAACCTCCTCCTTCTCCCTGAGCTTCCTCTCTTTCCACTTGAAGAAGTCCTCCTTTGCCCGTAACCCCCTCAGAACGTTCCGTTCCCACTTCGGTATTTCCAGCTGCAACTCACATCTCGCTTCCACCTCTTTGGCAGGGAGAAGGGACCAACGCAAAAAATCTCTTTGCCAGCATTGTTCAAATGGCCCCCCTCCTCCCCAGTGAGTGAGCGAGAGATACTGGCTGCATCGTCCTCTGATCTTAGCCAAGAGATCGTTGACAGAGAGAGAGAGAGAGAGAAAGGAAGGAAGGAAGGAAGGAAGGATGGAAGCGGCACAGGGGGGGTTCTCCGTGCAGGAGCAACAATTCTGATACCCATAAACAAACAGTCTTAGATTCGCCAATATACTGCCATCCCAAATCAGGAGTCGTCTGGTAGCAACCATAGGTTCACTCAGCTCTTTCTTCCTACTTATCTTCTACTGCAGCAGACCAATGTCTACAGTCCCCTTATCCTCATATAGGAAGCCGCTGGACCTGGACGTTTTGCAGGCCTTATTAAGGACATCAACTGATGTCTGAAAGCTCCGCTTAAATTATGCACTGCTACCTTTTGGTAACATTTAAGCAGGTGAAAATCCAAAGAGCGGCTAATTGAAAGACAGTTGCTCGAGCGAAGCAGGGGCCCTAACGGCACTGTCTCACTGGCCCTGCAGTCTAGCTCCATAAACACAGTGAGAGACATCCAACCCTCGCACACGACCGATGGGTCAAGAGAGGGACGTTATCAGAAAGAGCTTATCCACAGCTGCAGAACTGAAGTGCCCATGCATTCACCCATTCAATACGAAAGAAATAGCAGGTCACAGACTAAATGCCTAAACAGAAGTGCATTTTCCCAACACTGAAAGATGGAAAAACAGGAGAGGTGGGCCAATCCTGTTCTACAATCATTTGGTGCCACCACAGAGAAAACCTACAGAAAGCAGAGTTTGAGGCTGCTGCTCATGGAGGGAAGGAAGCCCACCATCATTTGACAGGTGAGTATAAACGTGCTTAATACGTATCTTGGAACTCATCTTCCTTCCCCAGCCTGGAGCGGTGCAGGCAATGACAGACCTGTTGCAAGGGTGCTGCGAATGCCAAATGCTCCTTGCTAGCTACCATATCTGCACATCTCCACAAACTACAAGTCCTTTTTCTCCACAAGAGGTCACCCAAAGCTCCTTCTCAACTGAAACATCAACATTTCTGCTCTCTGGGTAGGAGGTAAAAGGGCCCATCGAAGAGTATAAAGAGCTGCTCTCTTCAGAATCAGACGGTTTGTTCATCGGAGCAGGCTCTGGCGTTTCAAACAACTGGAGGGCATCAGACTGGGAAAAGTTGCACAAAATCAGGGTTTGAGTAGGGCTCCCCTCGGCTACAAAACTTTGGACAACTGAGATAGAAAACTCCAATCTTTTACTGCCATCTCATCGTGGCTGTCCAGGTTTGGCCTGTTCCTGTGTGTTTGTAGTGCTATGGTATCCAAAATGAGAGTACATCCAAGTAGCGCAGGTTGGAGATGTGATATTATGGGAAGTCACGCACAGAGAGAAGCTCAAGGGGAGAAAAGAAAAGTGGTTGTGAAAGAATAAGCGTGGCATGAAGGTCCATAACTAAGCCAATGGCAGAACTTGAACGAAATCCACACCAAACAGACCACCTTATGGCTTATGAATGTGTGAACCTACAGAGGAACTTCTACTGTAGCAATTTGGGGAAGGGGGTGCTCTCTTCTTCTCCCGCCTTTGGCTCTACTAGTCATCAAGATTTCTGGTGCTGCAGTTAATTTCCTGTGCAGTAAACATCACATCAGATGGGCCAGGGCCCATCTGTCCAGGGTTTGCTTCACCACCCAGGGCCCCTGGCTAAACTCACAAGCAGCCTGGAAGTGACCTACATTGCACGCACGTCTCCGAGTTGTCTCAGAATTTTCTTCCCTCTGTTTAATTCTGCTCTCAAGGCTAATGGCAACTACAAAAACTTCCCTTCCCCATTTAATCTGTCTTTCCTCAAAATCCATCTAAAACTGGTAGCTTTTGCCATGTCTTGCAAAAGTGAATTCCAGAATCAACTTAATTTCGCCACATCAAAATTGCAAGGAAAAAAAACCATTAAGTCGATGAACTAGCGTGCACTATTTCTGCATGAATCAGGAATCTATCTGGCTGAACAATGCTGCATTCATCTATGGGGTTTTTAATTAGTATTTTTCCTTTTTGTATTACTGTGTCTAAAGGTTTTCACTCCAAAGTGTAATATTAAAATTTGCATTTGACAATTTGATTTGCTGTTTGGGAGAAGAATATCACCCTTGAATTCTAGGGTAATGTTATAAAACAAGAACATCATAAATGTGGTTGTATCCCACAGAAGTTTTTCAAACTTTAGCCTTGTTTCTTTCTGAAGCACCAGAAAATGCAAAGATTTGCAGGTTAAGCTCTGGGCAAGGGGGAAGAAACCACAGGCAACTTTGAAGGTTCCTCGTCGCTAACTCTGGCACAGCCGTAATCCAAAGAGCCATCGACAATCCCTGCAAAATGGAGCGGTCAAAGGGGAGCTGCACCTCACCCTCCAAAATCAAAAGCAGAAGTGAAAAAAAGCCCTCTAATGTTCAAACATTTCTTCAAAACCCTAAAACTTCTAACCCTTCAGCAGGCTTCATGGGTGCCATCTTGAAAAACATTCGCTCGCCCTTTTCATTGCTATCAGGAGATGGGGGAGAAAGAGCTTACAGATAATCCTCTGAGAATCAAAAACCCTTCACAAGGAAAAAAATAAAGCCTTTTTCCAAAAGTGCTTGTGAAGGACAACATTTTTGTATCCACCAAATAAAACGTTTTAATACGCTACAGTCCTTTACACTGATATCCCCCCATTTCCTTTCAGTAATTATTCATTAGAAAACATTTAACGTCACTGCGAATTTCACACTGGGCAGTCTTGGCACAAAAGCCAGGCCGAGGACCCTTTTAGAGCACGGCCAAGGGCCGCCTCCGCTAATCTGAGAAACGGCACGGAGGGGGAGGGCCGGGCAGGACACAACAGCCCCGGATAAATTGCGCGGCTAACGGTCAGCGCTCCCTGCCTCCTCGGATGCTCATTTAAGGATGGCAGCAACAATAGAGATCTGTTCCTGGCAACTCCTCCTCCTGGGCAGGTCTGCAGCAGCGCGGCGGGGCCAGCTCCCGCCTGGAGACCAGGCTCCCTCGTTGCTCCACCTGCCCCAGAGCCGCTCCAGCTCCGAAGCCCTTTGGGGGGGTTCCCACTCTGTGAGGCAGGTAAAGAACGTAGGTTGAAAGAAGGAAGGGAAGAGGAGAGGAGAGGAGAGGAGAGGAGAGGAGAGACCGAGAAAGACCCAGGTCAAGATCAGCTGCCAGAATCTGGGGGCTGGTGATCCCAGTGCTTTGCCCCAGGTTGGAGGAAAAGCCAGACTCCTGGCCAGCCTCCCTCTCTGGTCCTTCTCGGCTCAGGACGTTGTGAAGGCACCGACGCATTTGAGGAGTGCTGAAAACACAGCCCGAGTCAGCGGCCGAGGGCATCAGAACGGCAAAGAGGCTTCATTAGGAAGGCAAAAGGAGCCACGGAGCCAGAGAACGACAGCAAGCGCTGAATTCACAAG